TATTCTGCTAGTGTTGAAATTAAACAAAATATATCAAGTTGTGTTATTTCAAGCGACGGTGTAAAAACTAAGGACCATATTGGAAACGTTGGTTTACAGAACTTCTGTGTAAACATAATTTACAGTGTTTATACCTTCATGGACATAAATATTTAACCGATCCAATGATCGTACTCTCAATAGAGCTACGTAGAACCGACCGTGAGAAACAATTGGCTTAGTTGAAGTGAAGTCCCTACGTACAAAGTTTTTTCATATTTTGTATTTGTAAAATACGAATGTATGTTTATATTATCATATATTAGGGCAATTTTCGAACACAAACCATCTAAAATTAGAGTTTCTTTGAAAAACTAAGCCAAAAAAACTTGTACTGCTCTACCATTGGTAATTAAAAAAATAAGTAAAAGTATTATTAATTTATTTGCTTTATGTTCTTACAACTAGATGGCGCTAAAAACATAATACGATCAACAGTTAAGGTTTTAGGTTTGTTTTAAATTAAGCACAAAGCTACACAATGGGCTATCCGTGCTCTGCCCACCACGGGTATCGAAACCCGGTTTCTAGCCTTGTAATTCCGCAGACATACCGCTGTGTCACTAGGGGGCCAGGTTTTAGGAATTACAATAAATAATCGTAGTACTTTACATAAAGTTCCAGATTTAGGCCTAAAACTAATTTTCTCTGTTACGCAAGATTATCAAATAAATAACTCTGCGGCTCTTCCCTGAAAGCCCCGTCGACTACAAATATTATTAATAATAGGCACGCTATCAAACACAGGATTAATCCTACATTAAACTATACTCCATTGTGTAAGTAAAAAAAAAAATACGTTTCTTACGTTTCAGTGTAAAATACTTCGATTGAACCAAACATCTGTATATTATTAATGATGACGAGAAACCCACTTGAAGTAAAAATGTATAGCAGGGACGGCTAGTATGGGTATTAAAATAGATTCAGCCTTAAACCCACCACTATACTGGTACAGATATGTTGACATTTGCTGGATTTACATCTACAGAACACACACTTAATTTTATCAACCACATTGACTCCATACACCCCAACATTAAGTTCACCTGTGAATACGAGAAGGCTAAACAGATAACAATTCTCGACCTCAAGATCACAAGAACCGATACACAATTCAAAACAGAAATCCACAGAAACAATCACCCATACTGGACTATACACTCCCTGTGACTCAGCACGTGAAACCAAATAAACACAGCCACAAAACCATGTTCACTCGATAAGATTAACGAGGAAATCAAACAATTAAAACAACACTTCATCAACGTCAATACATTTCCTTCAAAAACCGCCATTAAATCACACACACATACTTTGTACAACAACACAATCAACAGCAAACAAACAATAATAAATTCAATGAAACAACTATACCCCCCACTGTTGCATACTGAATATTACCGATAAAATAATCAACATTTGGAAAAAACTTACAACAAAACATAACATTCCAATAAACACAAAATTCATTTAAAAACCGGGCACAAAACTAAAAATCCATACTATGTAAAAACTACTCTGACAAACTTAACACCAACATTATTTATAAAATACAGTGCCACGACTGCTATATCGGAGAAAAAAGCCGAAAAATGGAAACCAGATTCAATGAACACAACATAAGCACCCTCGTCCATAAGACACGTGCCCAGTAACGGTCAGTTTCAAACTGTCTTTGTTAACCTGAAGATGACCCAAGAATGTCGAAACGTTGTTCTTGTACTTTATTTTAATTAAAGTTTTTAATACCCATACCAGCCGTCTCTGTTATACATCTGTATATTATATATTGTCACTAGAGGGCGATAGGAGCACCTATACAAGTCCACACAAGTAGAGTATATAACCCGATCTACTGATGTGTTACCGATACACAACAACTCATTGGTCATTGTACTTAGTACCATAACACTACGCGTTTGACGAACAATAGACATACGGTCGGTTGGTTTTAACGAAGTAAAACTTTTAAAATATTATAACTAACTTCTATCAAACAGTACTTTAAATTTTATTTTGAAACCCTCGTAAATAAACCAGTAAACATCTGTGCAATAGTAACTAACAAATCGAAACGGGATAACACGATCACGTACAACATTTAAAGTACGAGTACATTCAAACATCAAATATATCCAATCAAATAATTCGGTTTATGATAGTGGCTCCCTCTAGTTTTAAATAAATTAACATAATACAAATATAATGGTACTCCTGATATTTTATTAACGTCAGGCTTTAATTCTTAGCGTTTCCTGATTTTTTTTCATTTGTTTGGGTTTTTATCTTTATCTAGAACTTTAATGAAAATATTTTTGAAATTTATTTTAGGTTATTTTTCAGTCTTATGTTCATTTACGTTCGACTCTTCGTTTTTCATGTTCCTTACATCTGGT